AAACCTTTTGAGTCTGAGAGAGATCCAAGAGATGGCAAGATACACATACAGAGCATGTTCTGGGAGTTGGTATTGTTTCCAAATTGAACATGTTTTATATTACTGTCAATTCCTTTCAACACCTTTAACCCCTTTCTTCACAGAAAAAACAAACATCATCTACAAGGCTGCTGCAACTCAAGAAGCAATTCCAGCTCTGGCAAACAGCACCCACAAGGAGAGTGCTCCTCTTCCACAACCTAGTCCTCCCCAGAAAGGCTTGGATTCTGGTCAGATGGCAAATTAGAATGCTTGTGTGATAAACAGAAGCAGGCAAAAATGAAAGATCAAACTTGCCTGAACATTTGTGTGGCAACATCCAGCAAAACTCACTTCTAGCAAACCCATCAGCAGAATCATCAAGCCACACTTAGATAGAGAGGAGTGCCTTCCCAGAACTCTCGCACACAACCCCAAAAAAGGGTAGTACATGCCTATATAATCTGTGTGCTCAGTTCAAGGTCAGCCTAAGGTACAAGCAAGACTGTCTCAAGAAACCAAATAAATACTTTTCAATGACTATGAATCCCTATTGTCCATTAAGCATCCAAACAGTTTTTTAACTTTAATGCAAAGTTCTAACACCACACAAGTTCTAACATAAAAAATTCCAATGCTATTCCTTTCATATCAACATGGGTGGAATTAAAGTTCCAGTCAATACCAACTATACAAAAGTAGACAATAAAATGCAAAAGCAATTAATACAGCTACTCACAAGTATAAAGATTTTTAAATACCAGAAGTAGGAACTTTTAACAAGGAAAAAGTCCAAAGACGGACAAACCATCAAGTCATTATGAATCGGTGGAATTGAGCACTTCAAAACCTTAGGGGAGTACTGTGTGCCCAAGGGTGGCTTCCCAACTCACAGAAACCACCACTTGAATTCTCAGATTTCGTCTTATGAAGTTTAAACATTCATGTTTCCTCACATGCAAAAAAGCACTAAGATTAATAAAAAACTGTCATTTTTCTATACAGCTGAAAATGCCTAGCCACTTGTTCATTTCCTACCATTTATTCAGGTACAACTGAAACCAACTAATTTTAGGGCATCAGATTGGCAAACGTGGAAGACAAACAAGTATTCCCCATCAGACCAATTTGGGCCACTATCATCTTTTACGAGGTTTTTTTTGTTTTTGTTTTAGTGTGTATGAGTGTATTGCCCACATGTGTTAGAGCACTGATGCCAGGCAATGCCTGGATGTCCCAGATGTCATTAGAGGGCATCGGATTCCCCGGAACTGGAAATATAGACAGTAGCCACCATGTGGGTGCTGGGAATCAAACCTGTAAGAGCAGCCAGTGTCCTTAACCACTGAGCCACCTTTCTAGCCCTCTTTTTACAAGTTTAAACAGGACATGGTAGCACACACCTTTAATTCTGACACATGAGAAGGTAAGGCTAAGGTTTGCCTCAAGTTTGAGGTCAGCTTGGGCTACACAGTACCAGGCGAGTCTACATAGCCAAGACCTGGGGTTTTGTTTTTTTTTTTTTTTTTTTTTTTTTTTGTCTTTTTGAGACAGGGTCTCCCTGTTAGCACCAGGCTGGCCTCGAATTCAGCGATCCTCCTGCCTCTGCCGGGATTAAAGGCATGGGCCACCATGCCCGACAAGTCGTGGTTTTAGAAAAAGAGCTGGACATAGCAGCTTCAGTCACATAGCCAAGGTCTAAAGCCACCTGGGGTTACAAGATCCAGTCTCAACAAATACACTCCCACAAAAGTATAATACCTAGCATTTTTACTTTGGGCTTATCTGCTCCAATTATTTTTCTCTAACATCCAGATGACATCATCTGCCAGACTTAATGTAAGAACAAGTTTAGCTTTCAGGGAAGGCTAACTTGGCCCCTGAAACTATCCTTAGGTAAATAGATAAAATATAGGAA